TCGTCTATTCCGGCTAGGGCAACGAGCGGGGCGATCGCCAGCAAGGACCGCTGGTGTAGCCATGCTCGAATGTCACGGAACGTCATCTCGGGGTGATCTGTATCAAGGGCCGAGAGGGGCCAAAAATGGCTATGTAAAATGTATCAAAGGTTTGCCACACGTGGAGACAAAAGCACAATGCAAACAATCAAGGTGAGCAAAAGTCCGGGGGGATTTAGGGGTGTTTGGCTTCAAACACATGGTGCGCCTTTTGCTCTTTGCACGGGTGTCCTGACGTACTGCCAAACGAGGTTGCACTTCGGCGGCAGGTTCAGGAAGATGGGTCGTGCGAAGGCAACCGCGTTGGTCGGACCCTCCGGGCTCGCGCGGGACACGGACGCCCTTCGGGTCGTAGTGGTTGCGGTGCTGGTCGAGGTCCGTCACAGGGCGCTCAAGTGGTTGAGACGGTCCGCCCCCTCGAGGTCTTGGCAGGTCCAGAGCTTGAGGCGGCAAAAGCACAGCCCCATCACTCTGGCGAGGTCCGAGGACTCAAGGATGCGGGTGGAACTGGGGTCGTAGCGATAGCGCCGCATGTCGTAGAAGGGCGTGGCGGGTTGGTGGCGTTGTCGCTTCTGGCTGGGGAGCAGGTCGACTCGGAGTGGCTTGATGCGTCCCAGGTTGCGCTGGGCGACTTGCTCCAGCTTCTCTTGGGTCCAGAAGGTCCTGTGCATGTATGGCAGTTTCTGAGCCGTCTGCATGTTGTTCATGATCATGTCGGCCAGATAGGCGCGGGGGTCCTTGGCTTGTCGCAGGTCGGATGCGATCTCGTTGATGTGGACCTTCATCTGTTGGATGAGCTTGCCGGTCGTGTCCTCCTCCCAGCGAAGAAGGTAGAGCATGTAGCGCCGGTCGTCGTCGCCGGTGATGGCCTCTGCCAATTGGTCCGTCTCGTGTGCTCCAGCGGTGGCGCGTACCACGAGGCACTTCTGGGCCGGCACGAAGCGTTCTGTGTCGTCTTGGCCGGCTGCGGTCAGGGCCTCCCCTCGGGATGCGGCTTTGGCGTCACTGTAGGTTTTCCAGGGGTGGTATTGCTGGAGGCACTCGGGACAGAAGAACTGGCCGTGCTCGGTGATGTTGGCGGTGGCGCGCAGCCAATGTGACGAATGTACCACCGCTTTGCACGACTGACGTCGGCAGATAAAGTGCTCGTCGGTGGACGGGAGGACGCGGGTGATGAAATCGGTGAGGTGTGTGGGATAGTCGTCAGAGTCCAAGAACTCAAGGAGGGTCCCGGTGCTGTTTGCGCGCAATGCCTCGGTGAGGTGCTGCCTCTCCCATTTGTGGAACATGAGGAATAGGTCTCGTCGGTCCTCGGGTGCCAGGTTGATGAGGTCGAGGCACATGGTTTCGGCGAGGAACTTGGAGTGGTCGCTGATGAGGCGGCGCAGGTTGTTGTTGGAGGTTCCGGGGTGGATCTCGCGCAAGGAGTCCATCATGTCCATGTGGGTGTTCGTGCGGATGGTGCCGACGGCCTTGTTGGTCATGTAGTCCAAGCGGCGTCGCCATGCTCGTCGGCACAGCTTGCTGAACACCTCGAGGGTGAATGGCCGGCGGTTCTTCACGTCGAGGGCTGGTACCCTGATCCAGCGGCGGTTGACCTGGTCCCACCTGTGCACGGTGATGTAGGCGTCGTGAGCGTCGTCCGTCTCTGGCACCGCAATCTGTAAGGTCGGTGGGGCGATGGTATGGTCGCTGATCATGGCCGCGAGGTCGGGGTGCTCTGCGATGGTGTTGTACGGTGCGTGTTCTGCAATCAGGGAGTTCGGGTCGGCCAGGAGCTCCTCGAACTGGAACCACGGCACGCTACTGGTGTCGCAGGTAGCGCACCCGTAGCACGCCCCGACCCACTTGTTTCGCCAGTCGGTTTCCTCTGAGAAGCAGAGGGGCATGATGTACTGGGATTGGTATGGGATCTGGCAGAACGAGCACTGCAGTGTGGCTGGTGTTGGATTCAGGTTGTGCCAGTCCAGCAGCAGGTAGCGTGTCCGCGTGTCCGGCTCGGTGTTGGTCGACTCCATGAAGAGGTCGATCGCGTCCGTGGTGGAGAGGCGGGGATTCTCGGTGCGGAAGGTCTGGAACCTCGAGAGGACGCCGGTGTTGTAGGACCGCAGGAGGAGCTCGCAGACTGCGTCGGTCTCGCGAAGTGCCATGTTGTGCGAAGGGGGTGCGATATCGGATACACAAAAACCAGCCTGAAAATTCCTTCGGAATTGGAGGTGGCGCTTGCCGAACTCACGCAGGAGTCGGTAGTGTGCCGGGTGTGAGTCAAAGGGGGGGGGGGTTGGTCGGGCCAGGGGGGTGTGTCTAGGTGACTCGGGTCCAAGGATGGCCCGTTGATGGGGGGGATCTGTACGACGCGCCACACCGGCACAAACGTCGTGTTAGATGACACGCCACACCGGCACAAATGTCATCCCGAGGGGTGGAGCTGTCCCGTAGGACCAACTCCCTGCGGTGTGAAGGTGACCGGGGTCGGCCAGTTTGTCATCAGGGATCCGACCCGAAGAAACCGAGGGTAATCCACAGGGGATCCGAAGTGGGGTGAAAGACCGGTCGGGTTCGGGGCAGGCGAGTGGGGATTGGTCACCGCAGTATGGGCCTCAGCAGTGGGTCGGTTTGTCAAGGGGTATCCTCTCGAATCAAACAGGGGGGACGAAGAGGGTCGACCCGGGCTCGAGGCTCTCAGCGCTTTTGCGCGGTCCGAAGATGGATCTCTCTTCGGGAAAAGGGGGCCTCAGGCGGTCGCCTAGGCATGGGTGTCACCTGTGCGGTATGAGGGTCATCGCCCTATTGCTGGCCCACCATCGCACGGGACATGGACTTGGTGGGTCAACTTAGGGTGGCGGGTTTGGAGACTCCTCGGTGCCGCCTGGTCAGTAGCGGGAGTCCTGGCTCTGCTCAGTCTTAGAGCTCCCGGTTGAAGCGCAGGTGTCCGTCGGGGCCGAGCAGGATGCCCTCGATGGTCGCCATGGTGCGTTGTTCGGGGGTCAGGAAATTGGAAATTGTCTCAATGATGGTCTCCCCGAAGGTGATTGCCATGTTGTCCACAAAAGGGTCTCGCCGGGAGGCGCGACAGAGCTGCCTCCCGAAGGTAAGCCAGGAACAGGTCAGTTGTTGTAGCATGTGCTGCCGGTTGGCGCTGTTGAGCAGCTGGAGTTGTTGGTGAACGTGTTGCTGGATAATCCAGCGCAGCAGGCTCCTGAGAGGTGTGACCTGCGTAGTTGGTTCCACGGGTACAAGAAAAAGGCCCCCGAAGTCATTGCCGTACACATTGGTGGGGGTGCGCGAGAAGATGCCGTAGTTGGTCAGGTGCCATTGCAAGCCGATGTGGTCGAGGACGGAGGGGAATTCCGGTAGCAGTTCCGGATTGATCAGGAAGGTGGCATCTTCGTGTACCCGCGCGCGGATGTGTCCGGCCCGCTGGGTTGACAGCAGGCCTTGTGTGCTGTCGTCACGGTCGATGCCTGGCGGCTGGAGCCACTGGACTAAGTCGTGATGTTGGTTGGATGGTGTGGGGGGTGCCGCCTTGGATGGTGTGGTGGGTTGCGGGCGTGGTGAAGGCATGTGGTGCGGGACGGGCCCGGTCGATGTGGTGGTCGCCTCCGGGAATCGGGCCTGTCTGGGAGTGTCGCGAGCCGTGGGTGTCGCGAAGTTGACGGTCCGCGGTGGTGTCATAGCTCGGGAGTATCCCGGTTGTGTGGAGCGGCCTCGCTGCTGTCGGGGGGTGTTGTTCCGTTGGCGAGACGGGTTCAATGTGCTTGGCGGGCCACGTGGTACCGCGTATGGCATCTGGTAGGTGCACGGATCGGGGTACCGAACGTTCATGTGGTGAATGGGCGTGTTCCACTCGCCGTGAAGGTGGTCGCGGAGGATTTCAAAGGCCTCCCGCCTGGACACGAAGCGCCATTCACGGTGGGCTGTGTCATAGTGGATGCCCACGCCGGTGTTGGGTCTGGCATGGTGCACGAAGCGCAGCCAGGCAAGAAGGTCACCATGCAGGACTGAGTCGCTGTGAACATGGCGGCATTCGGCACCACTGTCGCAAAAGCCTTCTGGATGCCGGGCCTGTTGTCGAAGATGTCGGTAACAGATGTTGTCTCGCGGCATCCAACGCGCATCAACGAACTCCGGATGCAAAAAGGCGCACTGGTGGGCAGAGGCAGGTGCACGTCCCCTGCAGCCGGAATGGTTGATGAACTGGTTGCAGACCTGATTGCCCTGCAAGATGTTGCCCGGACCGACCGCCTCGGGCAGGATCGAAAGATGGTCCTGAAGGGCCCGGTACAGTCGTTCATAATCCGGGTCGAGCTCGGTCATTTCCATGAGCTGGTACTCCTCCACGATGGATGCGAAATTCGCTGGAGCAGTCATGGCGGTCGAGCAGGCAGGGCAGGTAGGTCGGAAAGAAAAGAAAAATTTGGCTAATTCGCCAAAATGGCGAACGGAGCATGAATCAAGCAGTGTCATCCTGCAGGCACTCAAGGTTCGAATCTGAGTGTGATTCAAATGCCTTCCGCTATCGGTTGTTACTTTTAACACAAGTGTTAACCGCGACAAGTCAGCCTGGTCTCAAGCAAGCAGGACTGAGATCGGGGATGGAGGCGGATTCCTGTGGCTGGTATGTCAAGTCTTACAAGCTCACAAAGCCTTCCCTCCTGAAGGCCGCCCAACCAGTCCCTGCGTCTTTTCTATGAATTAGAACCCACTTGCCCAAAGAACCCAGAAATAAGAGCTTCACCTTTTCGTTTCTCTGCAAATGGAGCAACATGGGAAACCCAACAGTCAGATCCGCTCTATTCTTTCGCAGGGGCCAGTGAGACACCTCACCAGCACAAATTCAGCAAATGTGCCTCTCAGGGTACAGCAAACATTCAACCCACAAACTAGGCTCCCCCCTGGACGGACTCCCTTCAAACCTCGACAAAAATGGAGACCCGTCCGCTGCTTCGCCGCAGAGGTACTGCGGACCGGAGGCTCGAAGGCGCAACTCGAGCGCGGCTCAAAGTGTCTAGGGCCGAAAGCGGAGCGAGGCGAGGTGTCCAACCTGAAAAATGGCAAGGCTTGCATCTAAACATGGAGATGGATGTTGATCCCTTTGAACGTCGCCCTTCAAAAAAAAAACTTGTTGCAAGGTGTTACACGTGTTGCCATTAAACAAAACAAAACCTCATGATTTCGAGCGTTTTTGTTTTCGTTTTCTCCGGCGCTTGGAATGGCCGTCAAAACAGAAGGTGCCCTGGTGCAGCTCGAGGTGAAGCCAGAGAGCCGAGGCCGGCGCTGGGGCCCCCGCAGCTGCCGGGCATCGCCATGGGATGTTTCAGCAAATGGGAGACATCTCAGCGGACGTGATCATGAGTTACTCATTTACCAAAATGACCATGGTGGGGTTGGGTGTGGTTGGTTCACTTGCGACCCCGGACAATTCCAGTTCCCAGCACTTGCCATGAATAGAGCCCGTTTTGGATACTGGGATAAACCGCCAACTGGTGCAGGATGTTGTCCATCCACAGTATATCAGAGGATTCCAGGCAAGCCACTATAGGTACTCAGTCATGTTCCTTCTGGTTTTCAAAGGGTGGCGCCCTTGGTTGCTGTACAGGTGAATCGAGTCACCCAAAAAGGAGCCCCGAAATAGGACCACATCCCCCAAGGCACCGGCTGCCCGCAACAGTTCTAGGGGGTTCACAACAAGGGGGTACTGGAAAAGTTAAACAAAGCATTAAATCATATCTAAGTTTGGTCCATGTTTCCTAGTGTTCAGTAGCTTCGTAAGGTATTGGGTGAGCTAGAATGGGTGCGGTGCCCTTTCCAACCCATTTTAGAAGATCCTGTGAGGCTGCTGCGCGTGAGCGACAGGACGGCTGTCTTTTCTCGACATGGCCTGGGTGCTGAAACCCCCAATCTTCGAATCTTCTGGGTTGATTTGGAAGGGAGACCCATGCATCACTGGAGGTGTGGGTTATGGAAAATCACATGGGAGGTCCCTTTCTGCTTGCTTTTTTTAGATAACGTCGCACTAGTTGCCTCGCACCATCCGAGGCCATTTGAAGCCTGCCAGAAAAATGAGCTGGTCAATGAACGCTCTGCAGGAACCAACTTGGAGAGTACCAAGTGCCCAGTTCGCTGCATGACCTCAATCAGCAAGGCGAAGAAACACCCTGCAAACTGCTCCAACTTCGGGGGTGTTGTGGTTGGATGTTATCAACTGTAGTCCATCTGGATACGCAAGTAAGAGTCATCATCTTGAAAAGGCTTGAGGGCACCAGGGAATGGCTGACTCCCAACACCCAACAAAAAATGAAAGTAGAATGGGGGACATGTCCTCTAATACTTGCAGGATTGAGTGAATTGATCCTACTTCTGAATCCATCCGCTGGCGCTGACTTGACAAACGAAGAGCATCTGCCGTGGTTCGTGTTGCCGACCAAACATGATTCGCCTGAGAACGGCCATGCTCTGGCACGCTGACAAAATGACCTTTCCGCAATCATTTGTTTTCGAACGCACAAAGACACGCCATGAACCAGTCTTTAGCCAGTAAAAGTTGCTGTTCAACATGCATGCATCTGTGCAATTCTACCAAGCAATATATATATATATATTGTGCCATCTTGTCCCGCTTTTCCTCTTGCAGCCATCGGATAGTCTGCTACCGGACATTGGCAGACCGAGTCCGCCCGTGGCTCGGGTCTGCCCGCCATTTGAATCCCTTCGTGGAGCATTTCTACAGCACACGCAGGCAGGACGGCTTTTCAGTTCTCCCCTCGCCTAATATAAGGGCATACTGCAAATAAATAAAATAGGGCTGTCGGGTACTTCAAACCCAAGCTAAGTCACAATCATAGGACAAACATATTTTCGCCTAGCTCGTACAACCAACAGTTGGCAACCACAAGCCGGCCGGCAAACATCAGCGGTGGGCTACCCCTTCCCGACACTGCATTTTCTGCCGAGGTTGGGGAGATCCCGAAAAGCCATCTTCGTACACCGCAGAAATCCTGCTCCTTTTCCAGCCCTCCGCATCTCCGCCTCCGCTCGCTGCTTTGCTCCGAGCTCGGCGCTTCGACCTAGGGGGGGGGGCGTCCCCGGCTCAACGTCGCCGCGATCTCAGCTGGCACGAGGCCCGCGAGGCGATGGACCATTTCCCGCAACACCTGCGCTGCGCCCGTTTTCTTGTGGCTTTTTTCCGGTGCACCATAACTTGCCAAATTGGATTGGCATCATGGGGTGAGGCCGTTTTACACGCAGGTGAGCTCTCTGGTGTGCTATAACTGGTACCCTTTTTGGGTTGGGTTCAAAACGAATTCAGAGTGAAGCCACTCATTTTGGGGTTCTCCCGCTTGGAGACAACATGGAAGCAGGTCGGTGGAAACCAGGGTTGAGCCAACTTGTGAGCTTTCTCTGGCGCGTTTCTCTCAAGGATTTCAACCAAAGCCACACCCCTTAAAAGAAAAGTTTGGGGAACCTCCAAAAAAAGCTTCCTCGGCCTAGGGCATATGCTGTAGGGTTACCTGGAGATTCCGCAAGGTAACCTGTCCAGAGATGCGGATTTGGTGTGTATCGACTTGCCCGGGTCACCAGGCTGGCGAAAGTGTCGCAAGACAAATTGCTCTTCAACCTCATCTCAAAGCAAAGCTCGGCTGGAATTGGCCCAAAGGTCCTGTTTCAGCAACTCGAAAAAGAACATGAAAGCACCCATTGCAAGCAAATTGAAAAGGAGGCCGACTAGATTTGCAGGGGCCAGGATCCGCTTCTGGAATATGACACATCTGCCACAAGTTAGTATGCCTCACACAGCTTCAAATAAGGGTTCCCAAGCAAAGCATATGCATCCTGGGGGGAGCTTGTTTTACGCACAGGCGAGCTCATTGTACTCGCGCAAATTAGGTTCTAAGAGAGAGATCGTCTTCACAGAAAGCGCATAGGTGTTGCTGAAGCGCAGTCCCAATGGCGTCAATCTTCAACGAAAGCACCTGCGGGTTGGCACAGCACATAGTGTTCCGGCGTGCCCAGCGACATGGCACTTGCCAGGGCGCAGCCACAGCCAGGGCGCAGCAGGTATAATAACCTGCTACTGGCAATCTAGAGATCTAAGTAAATTATCGTTTCCTCAACCTGAAGTAAGGAACTCCCAAGAAAGGAAACTTCATCATGGGTGAGACGCAACGGTGTTTTGCTAAAATGTGCCCAGATTGATTAGTTGGAGGGTATGGGGTCGCGTCCAATTTGGAAAACCGGCAAGAACGTGTCAAATCCCCTGTGGAGACCTTTCTTGGTACGGAAGAGCGGGGACAGGGAGGGCCGCATCAACATTTACAAACTGAAGATCAAAAACCTTGGCTACTTCTTGGGGGAGGGAAGTTGTCAGGCCGAAAGACGATCAGCTGCGCCTTCAGCTCGAGTCTTTCGCCTTTTTCTCCTGGACTCTCAAAGTGTCAACCCGGCACTCATGGTCATTTTAAAGTGAACCAAAGTGAATTGGGACCAGTCGTGCTGGGAGACTTTGGAGACAAACCCATGCTACCGAAGTAGGATTTCCAGCCCCATAAGTGCTGTATGTTTTGAGAGGGGAGTCCCTTGGTACCACAGGAAGTGGCCGTCAAAGAGACGTTCCTGCACGCTGAATTGCCCCAACTGATGTCGTCCCCCACTGAAATGGTCGGTGCACAAATGATAAATCCCACTTGAGGAGGCGATTTGCCACCTGGTAAGTGGTTGGTACTTGTGGCTACAACCCACTTGGGGGGGGGGACATTTTCACCGGGATCAAAGGGTTGGAATCCAGGTGCACCGGCAGATCGCCGCGGAGGCGACACACGACTTCTCTTCGAAACCTCTGGCCTCGCAACCCGACCGCCTGGCTTCCAGCAACGCTTCAACCCCCCTAGAGATGCATAAAAAGCGCCGGGCCCAAGGTCCCGGGCCTGTTGGAGGCATCTTCAAAGTTATACAAAATAACCTACATCCGAGAATCCACCCCTAAAACGTAGCACCTCACATGAGCCGCGAGGAGCCGGCCTTTGGCACCTTCGCGGCTCCCTTCTGATGAGTTTGCCGCAACTCCAAATGACAACAGTCTACTCAACATGACCCATGATCAAAGCTCCGAATCTGTCGGCCATGACCAAAATCTACCCCCCAAAAAAACGAAACCCTTATCATGGTGGTCTTCACTCTCTACACGGAGTCCATGACCACTCTATACGGGGTCCGTGACCATCCCTACCAATCCGAAGCGCAAGGAACCCTCGACTAGTGCGGGTTGCTGGGGGCTAAGCAATGTTAAAATATCCTCACAAGGGACTCCACGTGAGCCACTGTCAATATTCATTGTTCAGGTGGCATGGGAATTGGTTGAGAAACAAACCCATACAGGACACCCCGACAGGGGATAGAGAATCTGCTTTTCAAGCGACCAAGAAAACGCAAAGGCTCCTTCTTCGCCTTTTTGTCCTTACCTTTCTTCTTCACCTTCTTGGCCTTCTTTTTCTTGCCTAGCGGCGCGCACCCCCGGCGTTGTGCTACTCGTGGACCGTTGGTTCTGCCACTTCCCGGCGTCCAAAAGATCTCCGTGTTGATAAGGTGTCACAGTAGGGGGATCCCCAAAACTCGTGTTTCTTTCAATCCCTGCTGGTCTCAATTTAAAACCACCCCAAAAGGGTACCCTCAAAGAACATACACATCCGGAAACAGGAGCTCCAGGCTTTGTGCTAGCAGAGTCTGGCTGCGAAGTGTGACAACCCCAAGAGAATAATAGACATGTCCAGTCTCTGGGCGTGTCTTTCTCGAGGCGACCCTTCTGCCTTTAAAGGGAACCCTTAAAGAAAGCCATCCCCATTTTGGGGGTCCGTTCCTATGTTGAAGCTGGTCAAGCTGGACCCTTCGCCTCAGAAGCGAGATGCATGATTGTGGCAAGTGATCTGGCCAGTCATTTGGTGCATGGGCCTCCCGTCCCCAAACTGCTTCGTCAGTTCAAAGGGCCTCTTCTCGGATGCAGAAAATGGACCAAGGCAACCTACTTCCAAGCGCTCAGGTTCCCAATTCACGGTTAGGCCAGGCCCTGAAACCCGAAACCGACGTCGACTTCCCATCAGCGCCTGAGCTGGAGCTGTCCGAGGAGCTGGAGCCTCAGCCAAACCGGTGCTACCCTTCGGATTGGATTGCCCAAGAGTGTCGAAACCATAGGTGTCCTTTTAAGGGACATAGATGGATTTCCCTGGTAGATGATATTTCACCACCAGGTAAACCAGGAATCGCCATCTATTTTTCTACCAAAACAACCAAAAAGGACACCTATGGTCGAAACGAGTTGGCTCACACCTTCACATGCTGAGTTCTACATAAAGGCCCAGGGGGATGTTTTCCAAAGAATGACCATCGTTAAGCATGTCAAACAATATCGGCTATTAACACTATGGGTTCTTGCCATATCATCCCCGCTCTGTTCAGGGATTCTTCTTTTCAGATAATGAGAAAAAGAAAAGCGAGGAATGGATGGTTCTGAGCAGAAGGACGGTAAAGAAAATTGGGAATGGTTGGTGTTACGGTGGTTGTTCCCAGTGTCAAAAACTTCCTGGGGGGGGGGGGGACGCTTGTTTGGATTCACTGTGTAACCGCAGGCGTTGATACAATAATATATATATATATATATTGTTACTATGTATCACATTATATTGTATTCTATTATACTATATTTTATAGTGCATTATATATTACAGTGCATTCTATATTATACGCATGTTTGATGTGTATATATAAATATAGAGAGACTATGGGTAGGTCCGCCCAAACTCCATTTTCCGTGGCTAGGTCACCTCCAAGCGTCCACTCAATACACTCTTGATGAGAGTCAAACAGCAACATGGGGCCAGCGGCCCTTTGTGGTGTGACATCTTGTGCTGGAAGTCTCAAGGGATTGAGACTCAAACAAGGTTGGCTGCATGTGTGGGCTCGTCTTTGGTTGGTACCCCGCTTTCCAAGGCCATGAAAACGCTGCACTGCTTTTCGGGCTAGTGCCCGGCTTCAAAGGGCTAGCAAAAGGAGACCCATGTCCTTGCCAAACGTGAAGAACATTGATAGATGTCCTTGGCACGGCGGGATAGCCCTGTCATGTGGCGCTGCCATGCGCTCGGTTGCCTTTCCTATCTCACGTCTCGCATGGTTGGGCTTGCAGGCGCATGTGTTGTTTCGAGAAACGACAACGGGAAGTAAGAAAGTCAAAACTCAGGACAGTGTTGGCGGTGCTGACAAATCAAAGACAGGGGATTGCATGCTACCTGTTTTGGACAAAATGGATTACCTCAACATTGAGGGCAAACTCAGCCAATTCCATACTTCCATGAATGCATTCGAGCAGCTTTTCTTCTTATTTTTCTTCTTTTGCTTCTGTGCCTGCCAAACGGCTGCCCTGAAAGCCCTCGGCCGCTCTCCGAAAAGCGGTCCAAGGACAGCCCTGTGATTGCTTTTGGGAGTGCGAATCTGATGGGCAGCTTCAAACCGCTCCCAGCTCGTTCAAGCCACATTTGCTTGTTCCTGCCTCAACCCTTCCATGTTTAGTAAGCTTTGAACCCTGTCATACCCGGACCCTGCATCAAGTTGTATTTGTGGGTGTTTGCTGGCTGAAAGGGGGCAATAAGGAACGCCAGCAAGGCGAAAGGTTTAAAAGCGAAGCTAAGTCTGGCAATATTTTCCAGGCCTCTTGTCAGGTTTCAGGCGAGGGGAGGTCAAACCTTTTCCCACAGCGACAGCGGGTTCTTCGCCAATCTTGGCTTTGAGGCGACCCTACGTTGGCACGGGGGATTTCGACTGGACACCGTCCAGATTTCTGCCCTTGAGGTTCGGTCATATTTTGAATTCCCGGATTTTGGGTAAGATGTGTCGGATTTAAAAGAATTGCTCGGCCCGCCTTCATTTGAGCCGCCTCCAGTCGCGCTTGCTGCTTGGATTCCAGTCTTATCACCTGGCCAGAAACTGCGAAGGCTCCGAACCAGGGCTGGGCCAACCACTTGTTGAAACACAGGACCAAACACCTGCCGTTCAAACAAATTCACCCGGTGATCTTGAAATACCACTCCTCTTTAAAGGTCATGCAATACTTCACGTGCTCTGTGAGACTGACCTTTGAAGAAAAACCATGGCCAAACTCTGTGGTCATGTTGCTACCAACTCCGCTCCGAACTCGGTCCCACAGGAGGCGATCGGCAAGTGTACCTCTTCCCGATGGGCAAAAACATGAATCACCCTCTGCAAGCTCCATGGAAGTTCGAATTTCTGAAAGATCCAGCCACGAACTATGCAATTTCACCGGTTCCAAGAGCCCCCAAAAGAAACTTAATGGGTGAAGTTGCCTTTGATAAATAAAATCGCACCCTGCCTGTAAGCTCGCTGTAGGGAAGGAATCACATATACATTTCTGTAATCTAAGAACTGGGATCCACCAACAGGGTTGGTCAAAGTGACAGGAAAAAGGCGGGGTCCGCAAGTTGGGGGAACGATGTGTCCGTCATCGGAAAGGCTACCCTATGAACGTAGCACCTGTGGGCGGGAACTTGAAAAGTAACTCCTCTTGAAGGGACCCGTTCCCGGAGCTTTCTAAGATGGGCTCATCAATAAAGGATGAGTGTGGGAGTGAAACACTGGATTTGTTTCAACTGTTTTTTCTTAAATTGCAAAATGGGCATTGGGCACACTGCCTTGGGGAGTCCCTTTTTGAGGGTACACGATTGGGGGCTTGTTTAAAGGGAGACCAAAGGGACAACCCATTAGCTGGGCGTCTGTCTTCAGACACACGGGGAGTTCGGACGTTCCACCAGATTCCCATCGCTTTCCCGAAGTCTCTAAGGCTCCCCCAACTCTGACCTCAGCTTGCTAACTGTACCTGCAAACGAACCCGCTCGCCCAAAAGGGAGACTTGCTTTTGGGGGTCCACGTTAACTTGCATGAAGCCGCGCTTTGCTTGAGGAACCTCCCTTTCCAAAAACGGACCCATGTCAGCCCATTCCCTGCAAATATGTGGGGCGGCACATCCTAAAATACGGCCCGTCACTTCAGGAGACTCCGCCAACGTCAAAGCCCCCAAAAGGTTCCAGGTCCACGCCTCGATGGCGCCGGGCTCCAGCAAACCGCCCGCCAGGTACGTGTCTAGCACCTGCGAGTCGGCCATCCTGTCGCAAAACAATGGCTGGTCGTTTAGACCCCCTACCAGCAATCAGCATTTTTGCTCGGCAATGGGAGCTTCGTTGCAACTTGTCTGTGTTTTTTTTGAGCGTCCCAAACGGCAGGTGAGCCCACGGGTTCGTGTAAGAGGAAATAACTGTGCGTCTGTGTGTCCAACTGGGGATGCATACACGTGGACAAGTACTATGCGAGGCTACCCGCATTATTTTCTTCTGATCCTGACTTAATTTGATCTTAAACTAAACCACAACCCCATTCTAGTATGCGGGTGTTGTCAAAAATAGAAGGTCCTACGCAGTGGTTAGCTTCATTGTGTTTTCCCTTCAACAATTGGGTCGGTCAGATCTGAAGCTCACAAAGGGCAATGGGCACCTTTGGTCGCAGATCTCCACGGCTAAGCTCCAGTGGCGGTCTGGGACAACTACAATTCAGCTTGGCAGAGACCGAAGCACCTATATTTCATTATACCTCACCTGGACCGGCCATCTAGGCCAGGTGCTCTGTCATTGGCCCCTGCCAAATCCTCGAAAAATTGATTCCGGAAAAACAACACTCCTAACACTGCCTCGTACAGTAGAGATGAGAGAGCGGCGCTAAGTTGCAGAGTTGACGTTGACGGGGAGGACCTGTCAAAACTCCCCGAGCTGGTCAGCAGGCCACCGAGGCGTGCACCAGAAGCTGAGGCAATTCTGTAAAACCCCCTTGTCCCACGGATTGCGGGAGGAGTCGTACGTGAATGTATCGAACCGATCATTGTACTCGTCTGTCTCCAAGTCAACCACCCAGGTCGTCTCTCCTGTCTCCACGTCCTGGACGACCGTGTATAGATCGTCCTTCCACTGATTGGCCAATTCGTTCCGCGAAACGAACTTGCCATGCAGCCGCACGATGGGGAAGAGGTACCATGCGAAGGCCAAAGCATAGGCAAGGTGAATCCCTAAACACAGCTCCGCAGTTCCCAATCTCCACGGCCAGCGCAGCATTAGCAGCCAGGTATCGACTGCAATGCTTGCAACGTCAATCACCACGAAGCAGCCCAGCATCGCAATGAACTCGCGATGATTTCGCAGCCCCACAGCATTCAGAAGCCACCGGCACCAGTGGTCATACCGCCGGATGGGTCTGGGGAACTGCGTGCTCTTGTAAGACCGCTTGCGGGTTCTGTTTCAAATCAGTGTTGATCATGCCCGGATCGGCCATGGAAGCGCAGGCCATCAGGGCAAACGTGACCAGGCAGACTCCTGCCACAAGCAATCTTGATGTCGACATGGCCACTTTCGGTTCCAGCTACTGGCACTTAAGCAGCCAGAAGCAGGCCACGCCTGCTAAGAGCGATGCGATCAAAGTGAACGGCAGGAGAAACGAGGTTTCATGCTCTTTGCCCTCCTGACGTCAGATTCAGCTACCTTGCCGACCCTTCCCTCCAGCCATTGAAGCGACATGCCAAGGCCGCTCCGGGAGAACCAGCTTCGCCCCACTCCACTGGCCGTGCTTCTTGCCATGGTCATTCTGCTCACGCTGCGCGACAGCAGCGATGCGGGTGACATCGGCGACACCGACATGACGCCCAAATACGTCAAGGGTTCTTCTACTGCCCATGAGAAATCTTTGAGCTGGCAAAGACAAACACAAAATGCGTGTAGTGCTGGTCTTGCAAGGACAACTTTGAGCTGCTGCAGAGTTCCAAACCTCAAGATCCGGGTTTTTCATGGGTAGTGCCATAGGTTTCAACCGTGTACTCTCGAAAAGGATAAGCAGGCTGTTTCGACAGCCTGCGAACTTACAGGGCAAGCCCGAAAGGAAGAAAAGAATTGGAGCCCTTTTATTCCACTTAATTCCACTTTTGCTGGGCACCCATCCAACAAAAAGGAATTTTGAGAGTGCCTGCCGAACGGGGAGTTCCTACCGTTCAACATGAAGCCTGCTAGTTGCAGCCAGCGCCCAAAATACATACTGTGTGGGACAAGGGAAACCGCTACCGTCTGTCACAAGGATCAAGGATTACCGGCACTGACTTAAGGCCGATGGCTCAAATGCTCCAGGGCTACAGATTTTTGGTAGTGAGGAGTAAATCCAACGAGCCCCCAAAAAAACACAAAGGAAGGCAGAGCAAAGCTCAACAATACCCAAATCCGTGAAAGAGGTGAAAAGGGAGTCAGCAGAGCAAAATCCAACCAAAAATCATGAGGGTCGCAAAAGCAAACCAAACAAAATGGAATTCAGAGCAAAAACGCAGGTAGGGAGTCCATGGAGCAAGACATAAACAAAAACCAAAAGAGTTCAGAACAACGAAATTGAACCAACGCCTTTGAAAAGGAAAGTTCTTTCGAACCCGAAACAAGGTCCATGCAAAACCCCCAGGCCCATTCCACCACCTTGCCTTCAGAAAAGTGGCATTGGGATTGCGCGCCACCTCCAGAACCTGCGGGTGGTTTCGTGGGCATTTAGGGAAACTTATTTTTCTAAATGGCCACGGGTCAAAACCCAAATCGTACCCCCAGTGAACATCCCAATCCCCACTAAAATGGGTTCTCAAATGGGTGGTCCACCTACCCCCAAAATGGTACCGTTGGTTTTGACCCACAGCCAAATGAGTTTGATTCGAACTTGGTCATGCTTGAACGGTGGAAAAAGCTCAAAAGTCGTCCATCTTTGCCCAGAACCTCACTCATGGTACAAATCCAAACATTTCCTCTCCCCCCTGCCGTGGTTCCCAACATAAGCCAGCAAAGCACTCATACATTGGGGGGCTAGTTGGGGCAAAGGGGGGAATGTGTTAAAACAATCCCCTGTGGTTGGCGTGGCTTCCCTTTGAAACCGTCCCAAATGAATCCTGACTTTCGTCACATTTATTTGGTGGGGAAGCCGGGTCAACAAAAAGTGGACGCCGAATACATTGGGTGTCCCTTCAAGCAGCTCCAAAAAGGGGGGAGAGGGGGGGTCGAATAATAAGATCCTGAGCTGTCAACGTCAATCGCGACCCCAACTGTGGGAACTTTCCGAGTTTCACGTCCAATTGCCAATCTTTTACATAGTAAGTTGGTGCAGTCGCATCTCTTCCCGTAGACAGTAAATGGCGGTGAAGATTGACTGATGCTCCCACTGAAAGGGGACATGCTCCGTGATTAGTGTTTACCCAAAGTGATCCGAATGGATACTCAATGTGGCACCCTTTAGAATCTGAAATAATTGGCTTCTGGGGTTCCGTGTGTCATCTCAGGGGAGTTCACAATTAATTAGCTCCAGCAACAAAACAATGGTTCGAAACAGGCCTGTGGGAGTTACGTGCAACCCAAACCAAAGGTGACGTTTGCTTTAACCACGCTTTTCAGGGCTGAACATCTGGCAAAAGATATTCCGCAAATCTGAAAAAAAATAAGAGATGGACTCCTCAAAAGGAAATTCATGGGTGAAAAGTATTCCCAAACCGAAACCCCGTGTGAGGTCGATCGAATCAATTTGCCCAAGAGCTTTCATAGATCCTATTTATCCAAGGCCAATCCCAAGCCAAGTCAACCCATCCCAAGCCCATCAGGGTTGCTTCAAAGACCGTGAAAGGGCAGAAACTTGGCCCGTGAAAGAATCCGATGGGCACCACATCATCCCAAAATCTCTCCTTCATCCTACCGATGGAGCCACCCATCCCGAACCACGACGCCGAAAGGACGCCACAGGAAAATAAAAGCGAAAACACTGATCAAACAGAGGAACATCAAAGGAAACAAGGAACACAGCAAGCCAACCAAAGGAAACCCAAAGGGAAGCGACGAAATGAAAAAGGAAAAGGACACCCCCTCCCCCCCCCAAAAAAAATAAAATAAATAAAACGACATAAGACAAAAACAAGTTGATGCCAAAACAAAGTTATAGACTTAGAGACCTTACACCCACCGAGCACCCTCCTGCACATGTGCTGGGCCTGCTTCAGCTGCTTCAGCACTACGTCCAGGTCCTCCGCCCGCTTCTCCACCAGGTCACGGAGCTTGAAACAGGCGCTCCCCTGAGCCACAGACTTGGAGTTTGAGACGTTGCCAGTGTCTCCTGGCTCCATTCAAACAACCTCCCCGCGCCGCCCCTCCCCCCCGGATCTTGCTTGGTTTAACTTCGGGTGTGCCAACCGGTTTGTTTGTCACCCGAAATGGTCGTCCCAAACCGTCGAAAGTCCAACTTGGGAGATGAGAGCTCCATGTCACACTGAATCCCTGCCGTTGTGAATCAGGTGATTGGATGTATCTTTGGGACCCTCTTGGTTGCCCCAGGCCGTTCCATTTACCTGTTTTCCGAAGGTGGCCCTTTAGTCAAGGTTCCAGGCTTAGCCTTTTTGCGTTCTGCCTTGTTGGTCAAGGCGAAATGTTGTAAGCGATCGCTCCAGGCGCAGTTCAGGTGGGAGAGAGCCGGATTTGGTAATCCATTTTCAGGACCTGGTTAGAAACCTCCCAAAGCCTGTGGCCTTACCCCAAACTGGTTTGGCTTGGCCTGAAAGTACCTTCCCAATTTGGCTTCCCAGGAATGGGAAGGCAAGCTCTCGGGCGTGGCTTGTGCGAACTTTCTCGTCATTCCATTTGCATGCATAGGCATGGAAGGGCAACCAAGGGAACTGCCTTTTTAAAAGCAAGGAAATTGGAGCTGGTCACCTACAATGGCGTAACCTCTGACCCTCGGGACAAGGGACCTCTTCTGAGAGGGCTGCACTTCTCTCAGCTGTATCTTCTGGGGCGCGGACACCTTTGGACCCATGGGAATGCCCCTAGTGTTGGCCAAATCTACCTAGATGCTACCAGGGGTGAAAAAGGGTCCAGCCCCCGATATACAGCTATGTCTTCGGGCCCTTACTTTTTCCCGGCAGTGGCTCGAAAGTCGCCAAGTAGGCGTCTTAGACTTCAAGGAACAACATCTGTGTGCATGTTAAGCGCCACGAAAAGACACGGAAATAGTTGCCAATCATGACCAGTGGTTTAAGCAAACAGGCAACTACACAATTGTCTTCATCAACAGAAGAAGATCAGTGAAAATCGGAACTCGACGAAACGACCAACTCACCAGTACAAAAGGCCTATAAATGAAATCTTCACCTTTGGAAACTTGGTTGAAGATGCTTGCCAGAGAGGGGGAACCTTTTTGCGCCTAGACAAAAATGACCACCTGCCTGGCAACAAAATCTTCAAGACCAGATATGTGGATTCAAGTGGATATGTGTGTCCTTTTTGGCAGAACCCGCTGTCTGGGCTAAAGGGAAATCAAGACAAAACAGTTTTTTTACAGTTCTCCAATCTCCAGACAGGAGGCCGCCCAAACCCTGCGAGATTCACAGACAGGCTTGTACAGACCTTTTGCACCTACCCTGTAAATAGCCCCAACGACCAAGGTGGACCCAGCTATCCAGAGAGCAAAGCTAAACAGCCGGGTTGGTCGCCCAATGCAAGGGGCTGCCTCAGCCGGGCTGCCTTCAACTTGTCCTCAGACGGGCCACTCCAGGACTCTCTCGTCCGTCAAGCTCACACCCTCTGACAAAGCAGACTTCAAGAGCTCCAAAGGGCACGCTCTCCATCCGTTCCCGGCAGGGCACCCCATGGTGAGCCGTACGTGGATTTCCTGCACAATGCAAGTCCAACTTGGTTTGAACAGGTTTGAGCTAACCAGCGCTTTGCCTGTGAAAACACGGATCCTTAAAGGACACATCCCAAGCCAACCGGCCAAAGACAAAGAGGTAACCAAAGTGAGTCTGCGTCTTTTTGAGGGTCCCCTCTTTTGATCGGTGGTGCTTCATGCAAGGATCCCCAGGATTTCGGAGGGTTTTCCCTTCCGTGGCCGCGTTCGACGTGGCGTTGTTGCGCCTCCAGGCCAAAGGCGGCCGCCAGGGTCTTGGCCTCCTCCAGCGGCGGCAGCTCCGCGAGCCTTGGAAAGCAAAAAGAGCGGCGGTCCTCCGTCCGGGGCTTGATTTCACATCCGGACCTTTTCACTTGCCTATGTGGGGAAGTAAAGGGGATGACCTTTCACCAAAGCGAGAGAACATTGTCCCACTTTGGTAAAAGGTCATCCCCTGTACTTCCCCACATAGGCAAGTGTGTCTACTTTCACCCGTGAACTGGGCTCCCTCAACATCACCCAAAAAGGAGACTCACTTTCAGTTGGCCCAACAGTTGATGTCTAAAGCCAGAGCAAAATATAGGGAACCCTGTTAAAACTCAACAAAAGGGGGACCAGCACCACAAAAGGAGTGTGCGGAGCATCCTGCCAGATCCGATGGCAGCCCAACAGCGTGACCTCTAGCTGTTTGGACGCCCATTATGTGGCCAGGCAGCCGTTGCATGTTTTAAAGATCTTCTTTTGGGCTCTTTGTTGCCCAGCGGCCGTCCCACGTAGGTTTGCTCCGACTCTTGAAACAGGTTTCAACAGACGAGGAGGTCATTTCCCTTTGATTTTTCCTTTTCTCCTTTGTTACGCAAAGGGCACCAACTCCAAAAAAGGGTGCCCAAATTTGTGTGCGCTTTCTGGAGTTGGTACCCTCTTGAGTCTGCTTTACAGGAAAACATGTTTAAACAAATAGGAGTCCACGTTGACACATACCCATACGACAACATTTTACTCCCCAAGTCTCCGCATGTTCTAGCGGCTGATTGCCCATTTGTGGTGGTTTTCTGCTTCTCTGTATGTCCCTGAACAAAAGACAAACGTCCGTCCAATTCGTGGTTTGGATTGCTGATTTGGCCTAATTTGTCGCTGCACCCTCAAAATCAGGGCCCAAATGGGCCTTGGGGTAGGAGTTTCCATTGTGGGCTCCCACAATCTAGCCAGGGGTTCACACCTACTTATGCGACCTCTGCGTTTTCAGAACCACGAAGCATTGTCGATAAAACCAACACTCATGGCCCTTTGGACCGCTTGAAGGTCAGAGAGACGCGCCTTTTGAAGGTAGCACTCAACCCAAAAAGGCTCGCCCACATTTGGCATTGGGTTGTGGCTGTGGGGTGTGTAGAAGCAAACATTGAAATTGGGCCCAATTTGTGCATATTCCATTTAGAGCCTGTTCCACATCTCAGTACCCGTAGGGGTACTGTACCCCGGTTGAGGCCCTTGGCGCACTCGGGCACCCGCGCCTGCCCTGCACCACCTGACCCGATGCGACGCTGCTTCGTTTCCTCTTACCCTGCCTCCAGTTCCTTGCTTTGGACCATCCCAAAGGACCTCATGCCATGTTCATGAGACAGACTTCAGTTGCCCAGTAACCCTGCTAGAAAAAAGGGCACCCTTTTTGGGGCTGAGTGCGTTCTTTCCCAGCAAGGGAGTTGCACATCGCGGTTCGAGCAGGGTTGGGCGATGCAACCCCTTGTTTCAATGCTTTAAACCACTTCATCTCGATCCCTGACTAATCAACCCGCCAGATATTCATTGGGGGTGCCTCTATGGTGGATCGGCTTTGACCCTGACAAGCAACTGGGTGTATTGATGGCTCCACGTTTTGTTCCATCCACACGGCCATGGGTCAAAATCCCGTACCAGTGAACATCCCAATCCCCCACCTAAAATAGATAGACTAGAAATGGGTGGTGAATTCACCTACCAACCAAAATGGGATCCCAAAACGGTTTTGACACCCACGGCCACCAGCGGCTTCCCTGTACCGGCAATGCACATCGCGGGTTCCCCCTAAACTTGGTTGCTTTCTGCTCCCCTGCTTAAAGTGTTTAACTCTTAGCGGTTTTCTGAAGGTAGTCCTAACATCCCTTGGCAAAATGCAAAGTAAAGGCGACGTCCAGGGCCTTCTTCACCAGCGACACCGCGGTGAAGGAGGGCTCCGAGCTCAGCTCCAGGTGCTCCGCGAGCCGCGCCAAGTCCTGCAATCAAGGAGATCTGATCTGCAGATCTTCTCCATGGCTGAAAAGAAAAAGCTCTGGATGAAAAAAGGCTCTAGATATGGGATATGGGCTTTCCTTGGCTTTACAAAAACAACTCTAGATACTTGGTTTTCTTGTGAAGGTAAAACAGGCAGCTCCAAGGGTGACCGGATTGAGTGTGAAATTGTGTGTTCTGCACAATTTTCGGGAACGGGCAACCGGGGCATCCACTTCTCGGCGGACTCCTGCTCCAGCAGGTTCTTGCGACGGACCCGCAGCTCCACCAGTCGGCACCTGGCGAAACTGCTCGGCGGTTTAGGCCATGGTGGAAATCGTCCTCGTTGAGGATACCCCCCTGGCTATTTGCCTTGAAGATACTTTTCTTGCTGGTTGCTTGAAAGAATAATCCTCTTGCTATTTGCTTAGGGCGAAAGCAAAGGCGGCCCATGGCTCTGGGAATAGTCCTTTCTGTGCCTATCACGCAATCAAAAATAACATTTTCCACACGAGCACAGCAAGCTGAGTCGAGGTATGGTGTCCTTTTGCCCCCACTTGGACACACGCCAAATGCATTTACAAGCAACGTCTGCGCCAAACAGTCAAGCCATCCGGCACCCGTTGAAGCTGACTTGTGCCATATGGGGGCTCGCAGGGCAATCCAAACCTGTTGCAGAGTTCTCAGGGAAGCTGCAGTTCTCAGGACGCAGGCCGACAGCTGCTTCTCTGGCAGTCCGCGGACTTCGTTGCGTTTTGCTTCGGCATTGTTCCTGAAGGTCGCGGCTCATGGCTTGCATCCTGATCTTGTGGCTGACGGGCCGTTCAAAGGGTTTGCGGCGGGTGTTGTGGAAGGGGGGGAAACGTCAAGAAATCCCCCTCACCCCTGAATCTCATTTTGCGGACATTCAACAAATCATGGCGCCATTTGGTCACGCACTTTTTGTTGAGACCAAGAAAGGGGAAATTGACCAAAAAAGTTTGGGCTGAACATGAGTGGTGGGAAGAAGAGACACGACTGCAAGTGGAATTTGGATAACCAAGGGCGGCCCTGATCTTCGAACCCCACAACATATGTGTTTGACTCACGAGCCAAACAATGAATAGGCTGAGGTTGGGAAAGCGAACGGGGACGTGTAGAAAACCTCGTGAATGAGGGTGCCTTTGTTTCCTCTGGGGGTGCCTTTGCTTTCATTGTCCCACCGCTGAGGATAAGGATTCTTGTGCAACAGGCAAGGATCGCTGAATTGAACAGCCATGCAAATTGAGACTCATGAAGGAAGGCCCTCCCAAATTTGAAGGAAGGCCCTGATTCGTATGCCGCGTGAAACGCGGGTCAAGCCAGGTCAACATTCATCTATTCAGCCCTCCCTCTCAGACACGCGCTTGGCTGAGTCCTCCAGGGCGAAGCGTTCTGCAAGCCTCCCAAGCGCGGCAAGCGGACCCTGGAGAGCATTCGGAGCCCTCAGAGGCCTTGCTCAAGGCCGAAGGGACGCCGTAACGTTACGAGACCTCAGCTGTTGCCCAACTGAAACTCATATGACCACAGGAAAACCGCAATTTTTCGCGGGGGGATTTGTTCACACGCACACACAGATTTCTGGAAGTGTGTTTTGCCCTTACCTGTGTCCCCCGCGTTCAGTTGTTCTTGGTTGGCAGCTATTGCGAGGCAACCTCCCGCTGAGTGTGAGGAGATAGGCCGGCTGCACACGCACACGGACCCAGTGCCATTGGCACGCGGGTAGCTCTGACCTGGGGAGAAAAGGACATGTCCCCACACGGAGAGCCCAAAAACAAACGGAAAGCACCTGCCATGCTATCATACCACACATGTTGCCAGGTTTGACAGGCAATGTCGATGGGGCGAAAGAAGGTGCCCTTTAGTGGTACTGTAGTCGGTGGGAAACCTCCAAAAATGGAACCACGTCAGCACTGGGCACCTTTGATCGTCCCTCGTTGTGGCTCCCGGATCCGCAAAACAAAACATGCAAAGCACCCTTTCCTGCGATGCGAAAGCGGGATTCCCACGAGCCAGGGGCAAAAAATAGGGCTTACCCTAGTGGACATGAGAAAATCGGTGAGTCCCCAGGTTTGTGTGGAAAGCTTAGTCAGTCAAATTAAGCATGGACTGGAGATTTTGACCGAACCCCCCATGGCCATGTCTGTTTGATACTTAACAACGGGAATCCTTTGGTATCAGACAAACAGTGGCTCATCTCCCTTTTTTGTGATGCCAAACTCCATCACCATGTCTATCTTATCACTGAAAGAGGGATCATTCTGGCTAATGTTGCCGTTGCTTTGCGCGCAACCGGACTGGCATATCGTAATACGGCATGTCCTCTTCACTGAATGGATCCAAAGCAGAAAAATAATCACGGCAGCTTCTGTTGCACCAATGTCTGATTGGCCTGCCCCGGAGCTTGATTGTGGCTCACCCATTCTGAGGGGTTTCTGCAGGCCACCGGATGGCCTCTCTATGTTCTCGTCACGCCTGAAGTTGGCCACCTCAGCTGCGGGGGCTCGCAAAAGTGTGGCACCTTTTGGGGTGGACAAAAACCCGCCGTTTGGCAGGGCCCTGCGAGACACATCCACACGCCACCGTTGAACACCCAAAGGAAGCTCTATGAACCACGGCCCAAATGGGGATGTGTATTTTTTCCGCAAGCAGCGCGGTTGTATAGAGATTGACATGATCCTGTGTTTAGCCATCACTCAGAGACACTGTGTAGCAGATTCAAACAGTTCTCGGCAAGGTCAAGATCCCCACCGTCCAGGACACACCCAGTCATTCAGAAACCACCTGTACGCGCACTCTTGACATTCACATTCTTATGCTTGAATCTGCTTGCAGCCCCTCCGCGCGGCAATATTCAACCTTCTCCGAGATGGCACGACCAAAGTCAAATCTGGGTCACTGAGTCAGGGATGGTCACAATAGGCAAGCTGCATTGCGCAAAGGCACCATCCCCAATCTGGGTCACTGAGTCCGGAATGGTCACACTAGCCAAAGAGCTGCATCCTGCAAAGGCACCATTCCCAATCTGGGTCACTGAGTCCGGAATGGTCACACTAGCCAAGGAGCTGCATTTCTCAAAGGCACTATCCCCAATCTGGGTCACTGAGCCCGGAATGGTCACACTAGCCAAGGAGCTGCATCCTGCAAAGGATCTTTGGCCGATCTGGGTCACTGAGTGGGGGATGGTCACGCTAGCCAAAGAGCTGCATCCTATGAAGGTACTATGGCCAATCTGGGTCACTGAGTCCGGAATGGTCACACTAGCCAAAGAGCTGCATCCTGCAAAGGCACCATTCCCAATCTGGGTCACTGAGCCCGGAATGGTCACACTAGCCAAGGAGCTGCATGCTGTAAAGGCACCATCCCCAATCTGGGTCACTGAGTCCGGAATGGTCACACTAGCCAAAGAGCTGCATCCTGCAAAGGCACCATTCCCAATCTGGGTCACTGGGTCCGGAATGGTCACACAAGCCAAGGAGCTGCAGCGCTGAAAGGCACCATCCCCAATCTGGGTCACTGAGTCCGGAATGGTCACGCTAGCCAAAGAGCTGCATCCTGCAAAGGCAAAATTGCCAATCTGGGTCACTGAGCCCGCAAAGCTCACACTAGCCAAGGAGCTGCATCCTGCAAGGGTTCTTTGGCCGATCTGGGTCACTGAGTGGGGGATGGTCACGCTAGCCAAGGAGCTGCATCCTGCAAAGGTTCTTTGGCCGATCTGGGTCACTGAGCCCGGAATGGTCACACTAGCCAAGGAGCTGCATTGCGCAAAGGCACAATCCCCAATCTGGGTCACTGAGTCCGGAATGGTCACACTAGCCAAAGAGCTGCATCCTGCAAAGGCACTACGGCCAATCTGGGTCACTGAGTCCGGAATGGTCACACTAGGCAAGAAGCTGCATTTCTCAAAGGCACTAACCCCGATCTGGGTCACTGAGTGCGGAATGGTCACACTAGACAAAGAGCTGCATCCTGCAAAGGATTCATTCCCAATCTGGGTCACTGAGTCCGGAATGGTCACACTAGCCAAGGAGCTGCATTTCTCAAAGGCACTAACCCCGATCTGGGTCACTGAGTGCGGAATGGTCACACTACTCAAAGAGCTGCATCCTGCAAAGGATTCATTCCCAATCTGGGTCACTGAGTCCGGAATGGTCACACTAGCCAAGGAGCTGCATGCTGCAAAGGCTAAACACAGGATCTGGGTCACTGAGTCCGGAATGGTCACACTAGCCAAAGAGCTGCATCCTGCAAAGGCACTACGGCCAATCTGGGTCACTGAGCCCGGAATGGTCACACTAGCCAAAGAGCTGCATCCTGCAAAGGCACTACGGCCAATCTGGGTCACTGAGCCCGGAATGGTCACGCTAGCCAAGGAGCTGCATCCTGCAAAGGTTCTTTGGCCGATCTGGGTCACTGAGTGGGGGATGGTCACACTAGCCAAAGAGCTACAATCTGCAAAGGCACTAAGGCCAATCTGGGTCACTGAGCCCGAAATGGTCACACTAGCCAAGGAGCTGCATTGCGCAAAGGCACAATCCCCAATCTGGGTCACTGAGTCCGGAATGGTCACACTAGCCAAAGAGCTGCAATCTGCAAAGGCTCTAAGGCCAATCTGGGTCACTGAGCCCGGAATGGTCACACTAGCCAAGGAGCTGCATCCTGCAAAGGCAAAATTGCCAATCTGGGTCACTGAGCCCGGAATGCTCACTCGTGCCAACCTGTCGCATTGCCCGAATGCGTGTTCAGCTATTTCAGTGGCACCGCTTGGGATTTTAATGACAAACATGGAATGCAAGTCAAGTTCATCGCCAAATTGGTCAAACTCCCCTCTGTGGGAGCAGGCAACAGCGTTTTGTTTAAATACTACGGACACGTCTGATTCTGGCGAAAGGCCTGCATCTGCAGCTGTCTCGTCAATCATCAGCCATCTGCCCCCCACGAGAATGTCGACCCGGGTTGTTTTGCGTGTGAGTTCATCATCCCAAAGCTGGCACTCCTTGATGCGCTCCTTGAGTTCCCGACCAGTGATGCCTGGCATGACTTCAAGAACCGTTGCCTCACCGTTCAGCTGGCGAAATGAAACCCTCATTGCCATAGCGGATCTAAAACACCAACATGGATGGCCTTGAGATTCCACGCTATACTTGGTCCGAAACTGGGATGCCCACAAAGAGGCATGGGTATGAATTTCGAGGGACCGTTCGTGGAAATCATTTACACAGAGATTTACCTCCGCCATCCAGTTCCGAATTGTGCTCTCTCATCAAAACTCACAGTCAACACTCCGGCTTGCAGGGACTGGGACTGGGGATATTTCGAGACTTGGGCCCTTTGCAGGGCTGCTTGACAAGGGGAACATGATTCACCAAGCTGGAAGTGTTGACCCATGCAAGACGACGCAGGACTGCAAGAAACCCATGACAAGCACAGAACAAGCCTGATATATGTTTGCACGTAACTAGTATCAACACGCCAGCAATCCGTCTCTCTCTCTCTCTCTCTCTGTCTGTGAACACTGTGCAAACCAGGGACGTAAACCCGCGTTTCACAAGTGTTCCCCGACTGCGCTTCGTGTGGCCTGCGCAGCATTTCGGACACCTGCGCACATTGCTTTCGTATGGAACTTCACATGTATCCCAGAGCAGGGCGGCGGGGCACGCCCGCTCACGCGCACCAGCTCAGCGCTGCAGAGACGCTTGCCAAATGGCAAGCAAGGCCTGCCAAACCATAAGCACTCCTGTTCCCGCACACCCGCTTAGTGCTGCACACACCTGCCAGGTAGTAAACACACGCCTTCTTTTTGGTTCACCCTGCTTATGATGAACTCTAATTTGTTTCACTTATATCTTGATGGCTCTGGTGGTTATCTAATTCTTTCTAAACGCGTCGTTGTTTTCAGCGCTCAACTTCTGGCGCGAAGGCAAGGTGAACTTCGCCTGCTTGTCTTCAGAACGCGGTTACGCAACGGTGGAAGGAGCGTTGTTGGATTGCGGCCCTCATGAATCATTCAGAGCAATGTCAAAAACGCAGACAAAATCCCTAGGAACGGCTTTGGCGCCCGTCGGGAATCATCCCTCCTTCTGGGATAGAAAAACGCAACTCGAGTACTGCCAAGGAGCCTACACTTTTAGGGTGGCCCTTTGATTGGCCAACAAGCATCCACTAAAAAAAAAAACTCGAACATAAGGAGCCTTCCTCTTGCCGCCCGAGGGGCAAAGCCATCCTCCTCCATCTCTTCCATCTTGGCCAGCAGTAGGCGGCCTGGGCTCCTCCGAGCTCAAGAGCGTGGCCCTTGGCTTGAGGCTTTTGAACCCCCATCCATCCCTTGGGTCTTTGGGGGTGTTGCTAACCCAACAGCCTGGTTCCTTCACCGAACTAATCCCAAAACTAATCTGAACCCTTGACCCTTGGGTCTTTGGGGGTGTTGCTAACCCATTCCTTCACCTAACTAATCCAATGAGGCCATGTTTATGGGATTTGCCTTTTCAAGTGCTAGGAATGGATTCTTTATGGGGATTGCAAAGAAACAACAGGCGGAAACCCCAGAGCGAGTCAAAAGCCTTGTGCAAGTTCCACTTATGGTGCATCATTTCGGGGCCTTGTGCCGCTTGGGCCCCTGCTCTATCTTCTGCTTTGATGAAACTCGCCGCTTGTCCGTCAAGGTCACCAGGGATCGCTGCACTTCCACTGCCAACGATTGCGGACAACTCGTTTCACCCCCAGGCGAGCTCGTCACCACTACCACCCTGCAGCAACATCTCCCGGCAAACGCACGTTGCCCAGGGGGTTAAGAGGAAATCCGTTGAAGATCAAGTTGGGCTTTTAAGGAAAAGTGTTTTACCCCCTCGTGGAGGTTCCAAGAGAATTCCGGTCCAGTCAAGTCCAGGGCAGCCCCCCCAAAGGGACCGCCTTGAGCGTTTGCTTTCTTTAGAGCTCCTAGCGCTGTCCAGCACCTCGTAGAGCTTCGCCAAGTCCCTGGCCGATGGAGCGGAGGAGGAACTCACATGGGTCAAAATCCCAATCGTACCCCCAGTGAACATCTCAATGCCAACTAAAATAGGCCAATCTGGGTGGTGCACCGACCCCAAAATGGTACCATTGGTTTTGACCCACAGCCACATTGGAAAACCTGCCAACTGGAAGTCATGCGGGCTCAGCTGAAACAGAGAAATTGCTAAGGCACTTGCTGGATGAAGGAGCGATTGGTGTATGGTGTACGTGCAAGCTAGGAACATGTCCATAAAGCGGAAGTTTGCTTGAAATGATTTTGAGCCGCTATTCCCAGAGTGATAACAGCCCGAAGATGGAGCTGGTTTCCAGGATGGCGAGTCGTGCACGCTCAGGTGCAATCTCTCAAGGGACCCACGGCCTCGTGCACCGCCAGTAGTCACCAATCAAGGATTACTTGAGAAAGGGTATTTCCACCATGCAGTACTTTGACTGGCTGGCACGCACATCCTGCAGAATGTGAACCCCTGCGGCCTGCGTCTAGTCGATTGTGGGCTACCCCTTAACCTCCAACCACCAATCCACCCCCAATTTACAAGCTGGGAAGATGACTTTCTGTGATGCCAACGCGGAATTTCCATCCCCTTGCCTGTTCATCGCTTTAACAACAATCTCCATGGCTGCTCACAAAAGGTAGCAACCGCAAAACCAATTTGCTGCGACCATGAACCAAAGACAAAAAGCAAACTTCCGATTGATCTGGAGGCCGTACAGTAACTATTCAAGGTGGTTCTTTCCTGGCAGAGAATTGACCCATTTTGAAGCAAGTCCTGCTTCACTATGGTTCCCTAGATCGATCCAAAGCTAGAAGAGCTTCTTGCAAACCCCCGAACAGCATGGCAGCGCACTTGCAAAGGGGCCGGGACAGGGACATGCTCTTGGCGAGCTGGGAGAATCCCCCCCCCCCAACATAGACTTTTTTTTGCTCTCAAAGGAAGACACTGGTGGGTTCCAGGTTAGTGTTAGTTGGTGAGGTGCTACACCTTGGAAGAAACATCACCCGCGGTCCGTCGGCTCTCTGATGTGCAAACTTTGGGCGCCTTTCTCTGGTGCTTTTCCTCTTCTCGAGCAATTCGTCCAGCCTCGGGAAACATGGTTTTGTGGATCCCTGGCAAGCTGGACAGTTCATGTCAAGGCACATGTTCATTCCTCTAACCCATGTCCCAAGTGCAGTGTGAGTGCGAGCGCCGTTGCCTTTACAGTAGATGTTGAACATGAATTGCTGCAACAAGGGACCGACCCCCATACCTTAGTTTGGGTTCCTCGGAAAACGAACATGTGACTCGATATCCTTAGCGACTGTGCCTCACAGGTCACATGTCCTTGCACGGATGTTTCCTGAAATTGGGAGGTGGGGCCTAGAGCCACCCCCTTCCCCTCAAACTTGGTCCGGCTTAGACCGCTGCGAAAAGTCAACTTTGCTGGCTGTAGGGGAATGTGAAAGAGTGGGCAAAACAGTTCGCGCTTCTGCCAATGTAAGGAGACCTGTCCAAAATGTTCAGGTGGGATGAGTTCAAACGGCATGCCCTCAGACCTCGCGTCCTCTGGCTTTCCACCCCCGCTGGCCTCTCCAGCGTGAGCTGGTCGATGCCGAAGTAGCCTTGGGCGCACTGGACCGTTGGAACTGCATGCAGAAGCTCACCTGTAGAATCTCATAATGAATGCTGAAAGGGCCAAGGGCCTAAATAGTTAGAATGTAGTTGCGGGTACCATTGAACCAAATTCCGTCATGCTCATACGAGACTGACGAGTAATCAATTGAGAAACTCTCAAAGTGCTCACCTCACTTCCTGAGAACATTGGCGGAAACGTCCCCAAACTTCTCTTCTTTGGCCTCCAAACTGACCCAAAAAGGCATCAAGCCACCAACTCAGCTGAGCGAGGCTTCCCTTGGACCCCGCGCTCCCGAGACGCCGCACGTCCCGGTCCGCCTTCTCCTTCTCCGGCTTGGCAGATTGGCCGACCGTGGCGGTCTGCGAGGGTCGACCATGAGCTCGTCTTGCCCCGGATCGGCGCTACAATTTGGCCAGAAACGTCTCAACCCTTTTCGAGGGTGGCTCCAACTAGGGCTTTGCCAACCCACTTGGGAAGTAGCTAGTAACCCAGCTTTGTATATCCGGCTTAGGTGAGCGTACGACCGCCTTGCATGAGATGAGGTTTGGGTTCGGACCCCCACAGCAAGCTGGACAAATCTAGGGGTCCGCTTCAACGTGGTCAATATGCAAGCAACAACCTGAAGGGGTAGTTTCCTAGTTACACGCATGGTATCAAAAGTTAACGTCATCAGACACATCCATGCCCTTCAAAGGGGCCAATGATTATGTGAAGCCACTTTGATCATCTGCGCTCCCCATGCGGAGGCAAACGTATGTCGCCAGCCCAACGCGGGGGCCAAAGGTGCTTCCCTAAGGGTCCTGGGTCTTGGTGTGAAGGATCCGTGTTGCCCCGTACGCTCCGAACTTCTTTAAAAAGTCGAAAGGGAGCTTAGTTTCGGGCCCCGAATGCAACATGAACCAGGGCCCAAAGTCGCCCGAACAACGCCGGAGTGCCCGGCCTGCGCTGCCCACTGCACGCTCATGCCCATCGGCATTGGCTGCATGGGCTGCATTGGCTGCATGGGCTGCATGGGCTGCATCGGCTGCATGGGCTGCATTGGATTCATCTGCATGGGCTGCATGGGCTGCATTGGATTCATCTGCATGGGCTGCACGGGCTGCATGGGATTCATCTGCATGGGGTTCATCTGCATGGGGTTCCTTGGAACGCCAGGTGCGAGTATGTCAACCTAAGGCTAGTCACCCATCCTAGAAACCCTGCTGGGAGGTGGTGGGCGAAATCAGCTACAGGACTGTTTGGGCGGGCTGCTTCGGCTTCCATTCAAAGGAGGTTCAACAAAAGGGGTAACTCAGGAGTAATCTTGAAGTTTTGTCAAAGATGTGAAATTGGCAGTCTCACACGCTTCCAAACTCTAAATGGTGTCCCAGATGGTGTCCCCCAGGAAGAAGGAGGTCTGAATGTCGCTGGGTTTGGGTTGTGTTTCAAGCCGAACCCCTGCCCAACAAGTGGACATAAAGGGTGTCAACCTTAAATTGTTTCAGGTGTCACTCATATGACATATTTGCCACTACCATTCCCAACACGGAACACACAGAAAACATGGCTATGGGAAAAGAGGACGCCTGCTTTCGGCTGTGGTTAAATTAGATAGAGAACTCCTGTCAAAAGAATCGGTGACATTTCAAGAAAGCCACTCAAGCGAGAGGTTTCTGTAACTACCATTTCCTTCCCCATCCTGCGAATTGAGCGACAAGAAAGCGCTGTGTCCAAGACAAAATTTTGAGCTCCAAGAATGGAGAGATTCTTTCAGTCTTGCCTTGTGGCTTTCCGTTTGGTTTGAGTTAAGCCACATCTCAAAAGGGGTGCGGCAATCCTGTACACGCTCAACTCGTTTGACCTGCCAAGTGGCACAAAGGTGGGCATGCCAGAGGCATCTACGGTGGGCATCCACATCCTGCGGCCAAAGTCAAACCAAGCCTTCGAATGGGTTTGCCACAAGGGAAAACCCTTGAAAAGTTGGTTTCCCTTTGACTTTTGAAAGGGGTGCTCGACAAACCCATATGAATGCCCGACAATCACCACAAGCAACAAATAGAGGGCAGTAAACACCGATAGCCCTCATATACGAAACCGATCGGGAAGCATCAATGGCCGATATTCCGGCCCACGTATATTGTCCGTTGCTCATATCATAATTTGGTCTAACTGAAAGATGTTTATCGTTACGTATAATTGAATAGCGTTTAAAATATATTTTGCTGACCAACATTGTTACAATGGCTCACAAAAGACCAGATAATTATCCTGTCTAAGCGGGCGCGCGACTCTGAGTCTCGGCCTGCACCCTGCACCCTGCAGCACCCTGCAGCAGCACCCTGCAGCAGCCCTGCAGCAGCACCCTGCAGTAGCACCCTGCAGCAGCACCCTGCAGCGCACTGAGTCTTGGCCTGCAGCAGCACCCTGCAGCACCCTGCGGCACCTTCGGCAACAGCACCCGGCAGCAGCACCCTGCGTGACTCTGAGTCTTGGCCTGCAGCAGCACCTGCGGCCCTGCGTGACTCCCTGCGCAACTCTGAGTCTCTGCAGCACCCTCAGCTGCGCGATCACCTGCTTTTTGGCGTGGAGCCATCGTGGGGCAGCGTCATGTCCACCCAACCCCCGCATCCCACCGTACTGTTTTAAGCTTGGCGAGCAAGAGCACGTTCACAACGTGACTCGCTATTTGGCTCCACTGGCCCCGCATCGCCGCTTCTGTACCAACTGCCACCGCACATCACCTTGGCTTCCATGGCGCAACATCTTTGGAAGATCAAGTGGGACATCTGCCCCTTTTGCTTGGCTTCAATGCTTCCTCTGGCTGCGCAATTCCGGGCGCAGCCTGGACCAGCATGACGACGCTGGGCTGTTCGTCCGAAGTTTCAGAATCTGCCAAGTCGAGGATCTCCTCTCACGTCTCTGCTTTTGCCACGGCCGCTTCTGTTGCGCGCGCCATGCCCTCATCCGCGCCGCTGCAGGAGAGCCCAGCGCTTTCAAAGGACTCGGAGCAGCGCCAGCATATCTTCTCAGCCACACGCTTCCTGCTGCGGCCATTGTTTGTGGGCTGCCACCGCAGGCTGTTTCGTGGCTGCGACATGCTTCTCAGCCTCATGCTGGCGCACTGCAAAGAGATTAAGCACTCCTGGCAGTAGCCTTGCTTGACTTTTGCACCCGGCACATACACACTGTCGTGGCCGCAGCTGGGGCCAGCATGGGAAGAGTCGCCTCCAACTCCGTTCACCTAGTGCTGCCGATTGGTCCCCCACCGACCAACTGCAGGCACCCCTTCAGCAGACTTGTGCCCCAAGAGGACCTGGAATTGTGGGGACTGTGCTCATCCAATCTGATTTAGGTTCATAGGAAGCCTGGCTCAGCCAGTCTCACCCTCACAGCAATAGAGGGGTGGTGTACCATCTTCGGATTCCTTTTGTGGGACATGTTTTCCATAAAAAGCTTTCTTTGGTCAAACCAAGGAGCGGCCATTCCACGGGTGCTTCCTAAAATCGAAGTTTGTGTATAGATCAAATGGAAACCAAAGTACACCAGCATTGACTAGAAGTGCGCCAAATATGTTTGTTACGAAAAATACAATGGTCTTCAAAGATTCAGACGCATCCACAACGTTGTGGGAATTGCCCAATGGAAGGCCTTCCACATCACTTCGCCATTCTGAAGGGAGGTTTGGAATCTGAACCGTTTCTTCCCACAGCCCTGTTCACCCATGAGGTGTTTTTTACTCCCCTTCTTCAGACGTCAAATTACCAGAACCAGCCACCAAAAGTGGGGGATGATAGGTACCATCCCATGCCCCAGGGTCACAACCCCCTCCCTTCCCCCCAAGGTATGAGGTCAGGATTTAATTTGCCCAGAAGGGATCCTGAACTTGCCTTGGAGCAATTCCCCAAGGGGTTGATGGTCCTTATAAACCCCAAAAAGCCTTTATTGGGAACTTATACCCCTTCTTGAGGCGTGTCTAAAAGAAAATCGGAAGGACGCTCATCTCGCGGGTTTCTCGAAATTGGAGACAAGCTGACAAGCTTAAAATAGGGGACCACAGAACGTCCTCAGGTTCCTGAACAAGGAAGTTCCCGCAAGGATGGAAAAATCAGCAGGAAACCAAGAAGCGTCTTTGGAAGTTAGTCCTGCCAGTCCTGGCCACCAAACGCCACGCCAGAGCTCGGCGCTGAGGCGCGCAGCTTGCGCGCCGCGGGGGCTAGCGGCCAGCTCGAGCCATCGGAGGCCAACTCTTGGCCAAACCCGCGGGTTGCGAGTTGCGGGTTTGGACCAAACAAGTGATCCCCGACTTCCCAGCGGACGTGCTGCTTGTGGCAGCCTCTTGGGCTCGCTTTAGGGGAAGAGCACAGGCCAACCAAAGCCCAAAATTGGGGCGTCCCAATTCGTAGACACGCCCAAATGTCCCGGGCCCCAAAACCTTCGGCCCGAGGGGGCAGGTAGGAAACCTGGAGGAAGGGTTCCATGAAATCACCAAACAGATGGCTTCTACTCCATGGCGACGCGGCAAGGGACCCTTCTGTGGTTCATGAGTGCTGCATATTTGTGCGAGAACATGCATTGGTTTGTCCCATCCGTAAGGCCGTAAGGTATTATTTGAACAACTCTCCCTTGGCACAGCACCCTGAGGATCCCGTAGGAAAGGCAAAGACAAGCGTCATGAACCCCGGCAAGGTTGACCTGCGGAGATTCAGCCCAGAGTTGCCCCCACTTCGATCTTGATGGATGTATTTGGGTGCGAATGAGGCCATGGACCCCACGGCGCCGCGACAGGATCCCGAGAGCAACGAGATTCGGAGAACTCGGTTAAGCAGCCCTTGCAAAGGGCTCTGTAAAACAATGACAGCCTCTGAATCAAAACCTGGTACCAAAGGGGTATATTCAAGACTATGCGAGCCCCCGAAGGAGAAAAAAAGAAAACGGACATGGGAAAACTTGGTGAGACTATCAGACATGTTGTCAGTTGCTCATGTGAAGCAGGAAACTAAACAACCTTCAGAGGCGGTTTTAAACACCTGTGTACAGGGAGACCTGTGGGGTGTCAAGTTCTTCAATGCTTGGAGGCGGGCCAAATCCAAATCCACGTAGTTGCCCGTTCACGGCATCGCGAGCCTTAGAATAGAATTGACAGATCTTCTGATCTGGGTGGAAGTGTGCACCAGCTTTTGCAGCCTTTGTCAGCGTGGGGAGGCACTACAACATTCGATCAATGCAACCCCGCATAAGTGCCCCAATGCTCAGCCCAGGCGCCAATGCCGACCTGCAATCGCCTTTTTCGGCCGGCACAGTCTCAACCCCGCAAGCCAGCGCCGGAACCAGAGCGGAACGCCTTGCACGCCTCAAGTTGCACCTTGGGTCCAACAGTCTTTGCATGTCGAGCGGATTGGCCAAAAGAGGTCTGGACTGTTTGCGTCCTACTTAGATGTCTCCCCAAAAAGAGTGAGTCTTGGCAAGCCGCTTCGCCCGTTGTTTCCACGTCGCCCAAAGCAACCGCGACGCTCTCTACCAAAGCCAAAGCCACCCCTCCGGCATGCGATCCAAACGCGCACTGATCAGTCGATGAAGAGCATGGCCCGCTGCTCCGCAGACATGCCTTGAAGGGTTTGTGGAGGAAAAGTTACAAGCATGACGCTGAATTAGAGCCAGTCGCTTGGAGGAGACACAGATCTTCAAATTGATGCCAATCAGGGCAAATCGGGGGTTGGGGCTGAAGCATGGAAGAAGCCGGTTAGCGTGAGTTTATGCCTGCTGAGAGATGTTTCTCTGTGTTCCAGTGCTTCCTTCCCTTTCTCCTTTCTTTTGGAGGGGGCTCTCACCATCCCTGCTTTCGCTCGGGTGTTGTGAAACCCGGTGAACAGCGGTCAATAGTTGGACATGAGATCGACTTGACTCTCCATGTGTCCCTTTTGCTCTTCATGGTTGCATTCATATGTTCTTCCTTAGCCAGCAAAAAACAGCACTCTTCCAAGTGCTTGTTGGAGAGCTTTGCAAGATGACCCTTTGGGCAACCCAGGTGATACTAGCATTCTACTTGGGAGCTGAGTTTGTGCTGCTCTGACGAGTCTTTGCGGGCATGCGACGGAATACAAGCATTTAACATGCAACCAGCTTGCTTGGGAATCCCTTGTCTATTTTTACTCCACCCTCACTTCGGATTTGCGCATTCGCCCCCCTTTTTCAAGTGGACTCAGAGTTCCAACCAGGGTTGGCCCCAGCCATTGGTTGTGCCAAAGCATGCTTAGACAACTATTAAAACAAAGTCGTTTGGGCTTCCCTTTGTAGGGTGGGCATGAGTGTTCATCCAACTTTTGCAGCCAACCCTGCCTCCTAAAATCTTGCTGAGTTCCGTGGTTCCTGGGATAAATTTAGTGAGTACTCCCAGGTCCCTCTCCAACGGACCATAGTCTACTGGTTATGTTGGCCGAACATCGCACGATGGTTAAGGCTAATATAGGCCTGACAATAATCCTTGTTAAGCCAGGTAGGAGAACTGGTAGTAGAAGCCCTTCTGAAACGAAATGTACCGAGATTAGGAACGACCGTGCGCGAGTTGCAATAGTTCCGTTCAACGGGAAAAGTGGGAGCATGCGGGGCCTGGGCGGTTCTTGTTTTCTTCACTGCTTCACCAACATCGATTCATAAGCAACCCGGCCCTATGATTCAAGCCTGGTTCAAGCATAGCACGCTCCCCGAGAAACTGCGCTCCAGGTGGCCTGCACTGCCCTCTAGTCTGCACATTTGCAGCAGATTCGAGCCAGAAATCGGGACACCATACTCCGGGCTCCCATTTTGAACCCTTGGGGAGGGAGAATGATCATGTTCAGCCTTCCCGGAATCTTCCCACATAGCCCCGGCAGCAAAGCAACAGCCTGCACGCTTTGCCCGCTTGACTATCTAGATATCTAGTGTGCAGGCACAAGCCTTTAGCAAGATTTCCCTCTGGCGTGAATCCCAGATACGTTTGTGCCAACGTGGAAACAATTAGCTTGTGGGATCCCCGTTTCAGCCCACTCGGGACTTTTGCTGCCACTCTGTAATTTGCAAACAACAGCAAAAAGGTGCCCCGGTCACTTGCATGTTCGGTGCGTTTTACGCAGAAGAGGAACCCAGCACAGGGACGACCCTGCGCTGTCAGCAATCCCCAAAGACGCTCAACTCACCAGGTAATTCGGCGCACAACAGAGCAAGAAACACCCGTCATGCCCCCCATGCCCTCTTTTGCCGCTTAAATATCCTGGAAGTCAGATTGGTTTTGGGCGCTGCTCACATGCGAGTGAGTCTTAACGGGACTCTTTGGTGAACATCACTGTTGGGGTTCATGTCTACCAACCACTTTGGATGTGGCTTTTCCATTGAAATTCATACCCCAAGTTTCAAACCTGGGCTGCCCTCAAATCCCGCGCTAAAAGTTTAAGTGTCAGTGGGTCAAACAGAAACTACCACTAAATACCAAAAAGCCAAAAGGCTAAGGAACCGGACGGCTGGGAGCCAAGAAACGGAGACCTCTCTCCGGGCTGCCCCGCCCTTGAGAAGCTCCGGGCCCTGCGGGAAGGCCGGAACGGAAGTCTGGGCGGAGAGCCGAGTGATTTGGATGGGGCCGATGCCCCAAGGGGCGGGGGGCGGTGGGGCGGTGGGGTGGGGGGGGTTGGGGGGGGTGGACCCTTGTTTGGGTGGCGCTGCCAACATGATCAGAAATTCACCAATAACACCGTGGTGAACCATACGAGGGGGTAAAGGCCGGGGTGTTTCGAGCCGTCTGTGACAGGAAAACGGGCTGTCCTTATGACTTATGACTGCGCTGCGGCTTTCAAAGTGGCAACACAAACTCTGACGACTATCTCCCCCCATCAACTAGGTTCAACTCCATTCATCTTAGGAACAATTGCAATGGAATTCTGCCACAAATGGAATTCTACAAATGGAGTTCTACCAACCTGCCCCAATCATCAATTGCTCTCCCAAAAAAACGTGGAACCTGAATGGGGACACCCTCTCCAGGTTCCAAGTTTACTGTTGGGAGGGTAAGGGTATCCATCGGGGACACCGGCACCACCAATGAGTGGTGTCCTGTTGGTCGTCCCTGAAAGCAGCCCCAAAAAGCGTACCCTCACCAAAAAAGACGCTCTGCTTCAAATATAAATTGGCTTTATTGGCACCCCGCCCACCCAACTCCAAGCATGCATGCTCCTTTTGGTTTCCCTTTCAACCACGCTGAAAATCAGCACCCATACGGCTCCGGCTCCAGCCGCCCACTTCTTCGCCTCCGGCTCCGACTCCGCCGGCTCCACCGGCTCCGCCTTTGAGCCCCCAACTCAAGTTCATATGCAAAGCTCTCCTCCCTCTGATCATGAAAGATCTGCGTTTCGTACTTGTTTGCTTCGCTGATTGAAAGGAACCACTTTAATATCCGGCTAAGTTAAGTATGTTGTGAGCGCATCATAACCCAAATTGCTAGCCACTTTCTAACTTGGCTGACCACCCAAGTAGGAAGAAGCCACGTTTTGCTTGTGCAGGCGGTACAGGCAAACACCGAACTGTTTGCAGAGGGGCGTTACATGAAAGCCACCAAAAGAAGGGTCGTTGTTCCGCTCGAGCTTTGCCACAATCAGGGAAAACATAGATGCACCGCCACGTGGTGGTGAGGCAAGGTTTGAGTGCGAATTCACCATAGGAATTTATGAAATTTGACAACCCGGCCTGGGCGCCACAGCCAGCGGCTCCCCGAAAGCATTCGTATGTTAGACTCGTTGCCCATGGATTCCCAAAATAGTGGCAACGTTGAGGGAAGGGGGCCGCAAAAACATGGGCTTCCGGTTGTATGAGCCCAGTTGCCCAGTGACCCTGAGCCTTTTTGGGCCAAGGACCAATCTTAGTAGGAACCCACCAAGCACGAAGAAGCCTACCTTAGCTAGATCGCAGGTGAAAGTAGATAGCACTCTACTTTATGTTCACAAAGCAGAGTGGATGCTAAATTCTACCATGGTTGTGACCATGCCCTTTCTGTGATACCCGCGTGAGCCATTGCCATGACTTTGTCACTTTGAAGGGGCTTCCCTTGGCCACTCAGAGAACCTGGGTCTGCAACGATTGGCCCAAAGAAAACTCTCCTTCAAAATCGGCCCTTCCCGTTTGCGATGTTTACACCCCTTCAAGAGGAAATCTAGTTGAAACCCAGTTATCCTTTCATTGTGGCAACCAGCCCCCCAAGGGCCCAGAAACCCAGTGGTCCTGGGAAAAACATGCGAGATAGGGGATATCCCCGCCTCGCCCCGAAGCAGTGCCAACAGCTCAGGACGAAGACCTCGTACGGAGATCGCCGGTTGATTCCCCAAATGGCCCTCAAAAAGGATGTACCTTGCAAAAGGGTATACCTTGAAAGAGGTCTATGTCTTTAAAAGCTTCTGCGCTTTTAAAGGATCAAGAGTCTGACATACAATACACAACCCGAATGGAGATGCCCGAATGCGTGGTGATATGTGTTCAGCATCCGTGAAGCAAACCTGACAATTGAAACGTTTGCCCATCAAAATAGTCATCAAACTAGCCAACCTCAGTGGTGAACCCTTTCTGGAGATCACGTACATTGATTCCCCGCCCAAACATTGCTTCATTTATCCTGTTCAAACGGCCATAGAAGTGCCCCACTCGATAAACATGACCAGCAACAAAAACAAACAACCGAGATGGCCAGAGTTGCACCCCCGACCACTTACAATGGATAACGGGGCATGGTCTTCTTAACATGGGCGACTGTCAGTGGTCGGGGAAGCCCGATAGATGGTCATTTCTCTATAGAAAGTTGGATGACCGCTTGAAGTGATCGCAGTCAACCCAGGACGACATCATTACATACCCCGTTCAAACTACATGCGCGTAGTGAGCGTACCCCGAGGACACATCCGAATTTTACACGACAAAATCGTCCTAAGAGTGACAACTCCATTTGGATGCATTTCTTTTGGAAGGGTCGCTTCTTGGGGCTTGTTTGAAAGGGAAACCAATGGGAAACCATGTTGTGCAGGCTCGCTCATTTGAAGACTAACTCATTTTGGAAGACCCCGAAAGCCGCGACACGCTCAAGTTGATTGCATAGTCTCAGGGGTGCACCTCAAGGTTCCCTGAGTTGTGATTCACAACACCCGCTCTGTATGCCTGGTCTAGCTGGACTTCTGCCTGCGCAGCCCTTCTGGACCCTCCCGGCGCGAGCCCCGGGCCGTTGATAGCTCCCAGCTCCGCCGCAGTCTTCCCGCCCTCAGGAAGGGGCTTGTCTTGTGAGGCACCGCAGCCTCTTACAAGGGGGGCCTTCCAAAAGGGTGGAAAAACCACCATTTTTTTTTTGGGGGAGAACAAAAACAAGGGAAACCCACACATTGTTGTCATTGTTGGGTGTTTGTTTTTGTTGTTTTTTCAGGGGGAGCGAACCATTGGAAAACTGCAAATGCACTTGCAAAGGGAAGCCACAACTTTGTTGGGGGGGGAGTCAAACGACAACCAGAGGTGACCCTCCCGCCGACTGAACCCGAAAAAAATGATTTGGATTTTGTCTGTGTGGTTCCCTGGTGGGAAGGTTTTCTTATTCGGTGACTGTCATCAGATCTGAATTTGTCTCGGATAGGGCTCCTCTTGATGGCTCTTGAAAAATGAAAACCCGCACTCAAAAGGCACCCCCAGTACACATGACCCCAAAAGAAAACCACTTAAAAGGGACCCAAAACACACGATCGGAGGGCCAGAGGTCAGGGCTCACCATCGGACTCATTGGCCCCAAGCTCCCTTTCCCGATGCCAAAGGGCTACAAATTGCGCGGTGCGGCAACCCGCTGAAGACGAAGGCGGCGATACGATTTGGGCGATACGATTTGAAACTGAAGGCAAGTGGTTAGTAACCTTATTTACAAATATCCCATTTGCCTTCAGTGCAAATTGATCGCCTCCTGCCCGAGTTGCAGCGCTGCTTCCACTTACAGAACCCAAGAAACCAGATACAACCTCTGGGGCTCAAATGCACCGAACCCCACGTGGGCACGTGAGAATTGGCCACTGACGTGTCCGCAGAACCGGTTTTTCACTCGCCGCTCGCCGCGGCAATCTCCGCCACTTGCCTTAGCACTGGCGGGAGGTGGTGTGTTAAGCCTCACAAAAAAGAAGGCGCACCCCGAGCGATTGGAGTCCTTTCCGGATTCCTCAAGATCTGATGAGAGAAAAGCGTGGCTGCTAAGTGCTTAACCGGCAAATCGTCCTCCTTGAGTTGTTGTGGCCAAAAAGGACGTGCCCTCTTTTGATTGACCTATTGAAGGGGGCCCACAGGGAACCAAAAACAGGACGCCGATGAACAGAAGGCAACACAAGGGCAATCCACCCAGAAAGCATTTGGAAAACAAGATAATCATCGCCCACCCACGAAAAGGGGGGAAGATGGCAACCCATGCGAAAAAGAAGGGAACAAAAAGGGCAGGGGGGAAAGGGCAACCCACCCACAAACAACTGGAGGACAAGCAAAACAATGGTGGCAACTCTGGGGAGTCCTTATGCTATTGGTGAGTTCACCTTTGTTGTTACGTTCAAACCAAACAAACGGAGGAAAGCAGGGGCAACCCATGTGTACACAATCAAGTCAGGGGGAGGGAAAAACACCCACTTCGCCGTACTCTTGTTGTTGTTTATTTCAAGGTCAGCTTTGAGTCTCCTTTACCTACCAAAACGGAAACGCAGCCCGCCGACAAAAACAAGGGCAAAAGGGAGAGAAAGGCAAACGATGAGAAATAATAAAACGTACCAGAAATAAGTTTAGGAAAAACTCCCTCGCAAAAAGAAACGAGTGACGAGAAAAGAAAAGGAAGAAACATGATCTGTCTCTTGCATCCACACCAAAAGGAAGAACACCGGCTACCGTGGATGCCCCAAATCTTGCAGGTGAACCAACTGCATCGAATCACAAAACCCCCAGTATATCACGGCGAAATACAGGGAGTTGCAATACTTCGGGCATCCATAGTACTGGACCAATGAAAGTAACATCTAACATCCTCCAAGTCGTGCTCGCAAATCACCCCAAAACAAATGTTGAGAACCCCTCAAGATCCGACCCCTTTGAGGGACCCAGCACTGCACCATCCCCAGGCAAGAGGGCAGACATCGCTCCCCCTCCCTCCATACATTGTGTTCCTCTATGCCCACCATAAAGAGAAGGCACGAGGTGTGTCCCGGAGGGCACACCTTCACTGCAGCTGAGCTGCTGCAGCAGTTGCTGCTCGTCCACCTGGCGGCCTGCCTTCAGCGCCAGGCTGGGCGCGTGCAGCAAACGGCTCACGCGCCTCGAGCCGCGAGCGACGTAAATCGAGTTTGTCTCAAAACGGCAGCTTCGGAGTACGGGCAGCTTGCCACAAGCAACCGACAACGCTCAGGACAGCAAGCAAGCGAGCAAATAATCCAACCAAACCAAAAAAGCAAAAAACAACAACCAGCCAACCAACCCGCCAGCCAGAAAGAAAGACGGACAAGCAAACATCCAAACAGACAAACAATCAAAACGCCCAAATACCAAACACCCCACCTCCGCGCCCGCGTCTCCGCTTCGGACCCGGCGCGCAGCTCCGCGGCCTCCAGCAGCTCCGCCGCGCGGGCGCGGAGCGCGGCCACGCGCCGCCCGTGCCTTCGAAAGGCGCGCGACCGGGCCGACGGAGCGATCGGAGCCCAACCACGCGGCAATTCGAGCCCTCGCAGAAATGGATCCCAGGCGTGAAAACGACCCGGGAAGCCATCAAGAAAAACACCAAACCGAGTTGACCAGCCGATCCTCGCTGCAATGGAACCCAGTGACGTCAACCCGGAAGGCCATCAAGAGAAGGTGCCGAGAAAAAAACAAAAAAAAGATGACATGACGTGACATGAAGCGCCCAAAGGATTCCTGGCTTGCCGAAGCCTCCACTTCACGCCCTCACCCCCGCTAGCGCTGTCTCTTCCCTGTCGCCTGAGGCCGCGAAGCTTGGCCACACACTTCGCCACCTGTGGCTTCACCACCTTGACCTGAGAGAAAGCCGACACTCGGAAAACTCCAGGGATTGGTCCAAGTCTGGGGGTTGGTTCGGGGGTTCAAGGGGCTGGTACCCAAGTACTCCAGGGGCCCCCACCAAGCACATGCGGATGGCCACAAATTCCGCGATGGTTGAGTTGGGATTCATGGTTTGCCAACTGGTATTCATAGGTTTCGTGGTAATGGGGAGAATATTGAAGAGCTTTCCAACTTGACCCAGAGTAATCCAAACTGTTTGCACAACCCCCTTTTGGTTTGCTACAATGGCCCGTCCAGCTGCATACTGGCAAAGCCCTGCCGCGCAGCCATTCCATTCCATTCCCTTCCACGCCTTCCATTCCCTTCCCTTCCCGTTCCCTTCCATCCATCCCTCCACAACGGCCAGCAACTGTCCCGAAGAGCGCCCACCGAACACGCGCCTCCGCCGCCTCGAAGGCCGCCCTCCGCGACGCCTTGGACCCCAAACCCGCGAGCTCCGGGAGCGTCGCACTGCGGGCCGCCTTCCCCGCCTCGCGCGGGAAAAGCCCGCGAGGCGTCTTCCAAATCTAAAACCCCCCATCCCTTTCCCGGGCCAAATGACGACTAATTGCTGATTTTCATGACTCAATTTGGGCTTGTAAAAAGTACCATTCTTTGGGCATTGCAGCAAACCCCAATGCTCTGCCCTTGAGACAGTGCCAAACCCCCCCCCCTTAAAGTGGGAAACGTGGGAAAGTGTGGGTTGGGGGGTTTGGGGCAGGCTCAGGGTTGGCTTCAGATTAGTCAAAGGAAGTCTAGAAGGAACTTCCGTGTTACGGATACTAATTGAAGGTAGCTTGCGCAAAGATGAGATATAGGAAGAATAGATGCATGCGAAAAAACATGCGTGCGCGTGTGGCGGGGGAATAGAAATCGCGAAAAAGAACCCTCTGAAAGCTTTGGCTTCTCCAGCTGGCTGAAAGCTACCCCGGTCGCGACGCCTGTCCGACGACGGTCTCGGGTTCGGAACGGTCTCGGAGCGGGGCCCACTGTAACAGCAACACGGAGGTTTCGCAGGGATTGAAAATCGTGGCAGGCGCAGCATTTTGGCAAGGTCGGGTACAGATTTCGTGGCAGGCGCAGCACTTTCACAAGGTGAAGTACAGATTTCGTGGCAGGCGCGGCATTTTCTTACTTCTGGCACGGACGCACGCAAATCCCATTGGCACGGACGCGCAAGGCGGCGCATGCAGATTTCGTGGCAGGGGCAGTATTTTCGCGAGGTCAGGTACAGATTTCGTGGCAGGCGCAGCAATTTCGCAAGGTGAGGTGCAGATTTCGTGGCAGGCGCAATACTTTCGTGATCGAAGGTACGATTACATTTTTCCAGTTGCAGCTCGAAAATTCGAAAAGTCAAGTACAAAAGCAGTTTTCGAAGTAAATATTTTGATGAAGCGAGCTAGATAGATAGATAGATAGCTAGATAGACAGCCAGATAGATAGCTACATAACTAGATAGCTAAATAGATTGCCTAGACAGGCATAGTGCCAGATAGATAGATGTAAAGATGGCAAGATAGCTTGATAGCTGATAGCGGATAGAGAGATAGATAGAGAGATAGAGAGATAGATAGAAAGATAGAGAGATAGAGAGACAGAGAGAGATAAATAGATAGATAGGTAAGATAGATACATAAGTAGATAGATACATAGATAGATAGATAGCTACCTAGATAAATAGATAGACAGAGAAGATAGATAAAGATAGATAGATAGATAGATAGGTAGGTACATAGATAGATAGAGAGATAGAAAGATTGATTGATCGACAGGTAGATAGATAGATAGATAGAGAGATAGAGGGATGGACAGATAGGAAGTCTGAGCAGAAGATCGACAGCATTTAAGGTGTCCCATCCTGGCACTGAACGGAGATGAAGGGAGGCCCTTCTCCCGATGCCAAAAACACCGCATTTCCCACAGGCCCCTGCAAAAACAAGCAAAAATGTGGGTTCCCGGCGCCAATTTGGAGCGCCTCCAAGGCCATGCGTAGCAGAAGCCGCAGGCGTCGGCCGCAGGGGCCGTCATGGTCGTCCACGGCCTCTAGGCTGCGCTTCAGCTGGAGCCTCGAAATTCGAAGCCTTTGGGTGCGGACCACCCGTTATAGGGGTAGTTTGTGCGGTCATCGTGTGGAAATGGACCGGTTTTCCTTCAATGCGTTGGTTTAAACAAAGTCTTCCCGATCTGATGTTGGTTGAGTTCTGGGAGGATGGGCTGATGGCCTCGCCGCGGCATTACAGACTGCTGAAATGGGACCCAGGAGTAAAAATCTCA